GGTGGCACCTCTGGGGCGGCACCGCCGCCTTCACCACGCGGTCGAAGAGGCTGAAGTCGGCCACGTACTTGCCGCTGGCCGAGAGCGAGATGGCCGGCGTGAACTCGTAGCCCCAGAGGATCTCCTCGGGCAGGTAGGACGTGCGCACCTGGCACGTGGCGCTGGTGGACTCCACGGTGCCGCTGAGGATCACCACGAGCTCGAAGTCCCCGTCGCCGGCGCGCAGGGCCGCGTCCCGCAGCGGGCTGGCCTCGTCCACCACGTGGTAGAAGGTGAGCGGCAGGATGAGGAAGGGGCTCTCGGACGACGTGTCCACCTGGAAGTCCACGTTGAGCTGGTTGAGCCGCACGCTCTCGCCCTCCTTGGTGAGGTGGGTCTGCAGCAGCTTGCCCGTGACCTGGCAGCCGATCAGGAGGCTCTTCCTCATGTTGGCCACGCGGATCATCAGGCAGGTCTTGCCGTCGTGCTGGGCCACCACGGCGTTCTGGCTGAACTTGATGGTCTCGGCGCGCTTCTTGGGCCGCGCGATCTTGGCCAGGAAGGTGCCGGTGATGAAGATCTCGAGGATGGTGGTGAGCACGAGCTGGGCGATGAGCAGCACGATGGCCAGCGGGCACTCCTCGCTGATGTAGCGGAACCCGTAGCCGATGGTGGTCTGGGACTCCAGCGAGAACAGGAACGCCCCGGTCAGGGTGTGGACCTGCGGGGGGGGCACGGATAGAGGGGTTGGGATGGGGGGGTCGTGGGGAAAGGGAGGTCCTGTCACTGCCATGGCCACCACGGGGGTCCCACAGGGTCCTGCCACTGCCATGGCCACCATGGGTGCCCCAGAGTAGTCCAGTCACTGCCATGGCCACCATGGGGGTCTTGGGATGTCCTGCCACTGCCATGGTCACCACAGGTGCCCCAGAGGAGTCCAATCACTGCCATGGCCACCATGGGGGTCCCAGAGGGGTCCAGTCACTGTCATGGCCACCACAGGGATCCTACAGGGTCCCGTCACTGCCACAGCCACCATGGGGGTGCTGGGGGGGTCCTGCCACTGCCATGGCCACCATGGGGAGCACAGGCACCCCCTTTGTCACCCCCACGCTCACCACAGGGGTCCCGCCACTGCCACAGCCACCATGGGGGTCCCAGAGGGGTCCTGCCACGGCCACCATGGGGGTCCAGTCACTGCCATGACCACCCACATGAGTGCTGGGGGGGTCCCATCACTGCCATGGCCACCATGGAGTCCTGCAGGGTCCTGCCACTGCCATGGCCACCATGGGGAGCACAGGCACCCTCCTTGTCACCCCCACGGTCACTGCGGGGGTCCTGTCACTGCCATGGCCACCATGGAGGTCCTCCAGGGTCCTGTCATTGCCACGGCCACCATGGGGGTGCTGGGGGGGTCCTGCCACTACCATGGCCACCATGAGGGTCTTGGGATGTCCTGTCACCACCATGGCCACCATGGGGGTTCCACGGGGTCCTGTCACCGCCATGGCCACCACGGGGGCCCCACGGGGTCCTGCCACTGCCATGGCCACTGTGGGGGTCTTGGGGTGTCCTGTCACTGCCATGGCC